AGGAGCTGAATGCATTACTGGGAAATCAGCAAAAATGTTTATGTACTTTCAGGTTCTTTTATAAAACAGCAGGAAATGTATTGCAAGCTGCATGTTTTTTTTTGCATGTGTTTTTTATTTTTTTTGTTGCTTGAGAAGTTCACCTTTTAAATAAAAAAAAAAAAAAAAAAAGAAGATAATAAATACACTTTGTTTTGCAGGTAAAAAAAAAAAAGTGCATTTATTTATTTTTTTTTGAGCCTGTACAGCATTGCACTAGCGATCAGCAGACTGTTCGTTTAATCTGAGTGCTCATACCTCGTACAAGCAGTTTAACACCAAGAAGACTGAATAAACTTATTCTTTAAAGAAAGAAGTCCATCATCCCCTACAACAGGGGTAGGCAATCTTGGAGAGGTGGAAATCTACCTGAGCAACGTGGATGAGATTTTCAGACTGCCCCAGTCATGTGATCTTCCCTGTGTCAGCCAGTGGCAGCTGCAGAAGAGAGAGCGCTTGACAATGGCTTGTAGAACCTGGAGCGGTGATGTTCCTATGTTTCAGCTGTTAGCACTCCCTCCTCTCCCCTACATACGTCCTCGCTGGCTCACATAGGTGAGATAATGTGACCAGATTGCATCAGTAACACACTTGATACTTGCATTCACGGTGCCAGCGCCACTTTCTCTTCCTCTCCTGCCTCCGCTCTTAATGGACTAGAAATCATCTGTCAGGTGGATATCCCTGACAGAATGTAATAGTTTCCACACTAGTGCTGAGTGAAGGAGTACACTCAGCACCCCGCTACAGCTCTGCATGTATGCTCTGTGATGTGATCTGGGCAGTATCATGGCTGGCAGGCACGATCAGGGCATGTTGGGTTGCGATCTACCTGTCAGATGACCGCGATCAACAGGTAGATCGCAATCGACGGGTTGCCGACCCCAGCTGTACAACCTTGCCAATTTAGGGTTTAGCTACTGATAGCTTTCCACAGAATAATGGGATGCAGTGATTTTTAGAGAAGATCCTCTTGACTAAAAAACCCACTGGTATTGAAAGCTCCCAGATGGCACTAGATTTTCAGACATGTGCGACAGGGTTTATATACAGGATAGGTGACAGCAGCACTAGTAATCGGGTTTCAAATTACTTTTACTCTATCTGGTATTGGGTTGTACTTTGTGGAATAAAATCACTAAATCCGAAATATTTTTATAAACATAGTATAAATGCTATACATGTGATAAATTTGATATTAATATGATTGTATGTCAATGTTTAACAAAAAACAAAACAAAAAAATAAACAAAACTTTTTTTGCAGAGTTTGTGATTATATACATACATAGGGGTTGGCATATTTTCGCAATAAAAACTGCTTTGCAGTACTATACATTAGCAGCATTATACTGCTTTTAACAATACAAAGCTGAGGGGATGTGTATTACTAGCAAAGCACGTCCAGTCCTTCAAAATGCCAATTCAATGGTGTATTTAAATATAAGTGTCAATACTTATGTTGCAAAGTAGTGTTATTATACTGAACTGCAAATGCGGTCTATAGTAAGGCTTTAAAACATGGGGCCTGAGAGTAAAACACTGTGGCAGGGGCATGGCGCTATGGTGCTAAATTAATTTTGCAAACATGGAGGAATGTACAGTGGGGAAAATAATTATTTGATTCCCTGCAATTTCTGTAAGTTTGCCCACTTACAAAGAAATGAAGGGTCTATAATTTTTATCATAGGTGTATTTTAAATGATCGAGACAGAATATCAACCAAAAATCCAGAAAAAACACAAGATACAATTGTTATAAATTGAGTTGCAGTTTAGTGAGTAAAATAAGTATTTGATCCCCTACCAACAAACAATAATTCTGGCTCCCACAGACTGGCTATGTGCTCATGTGGTACACAGTGTCAACTTAGGAAGGTACTCCTAACGACAACTTGTTATGTGTATGAAAGACACCTGTCCACAAAATCTTTTTCTTGGGCACCACCATGGGCAAGACCAAAGAGCTTTTAAAGGACATCAGGACATCATTCAAAGGACAAGACTGCAGACCTGCACAAGGCTGGAATGGTCTACAAAACCATCAGCAAGAAGCTTGGTGAGAAGGAGAAAACTGTTGGAGGGATTAATCGCTAATGGAAGAAATACAAAATAATCATCAATTGTCCTCTGTCTGGACTCTGGAGCTCCATGCAAGATTTCACCTCATGGGGTAAGGATGATCATGAGAAAAGTGAAGGATCACCCCATAACTACACGGGAGGAGCTTGTGAATGATCTCAAGGCAGTTGGGACCGCAGTCACCAAACAAACCATTGGTAACACAATACGCCACCATGGATTCAAATCGTGCAGAGCCCATAAGGTCCCCCTCCTCAAGAAGGCACATGTACAGGCCCATCTTAAGTTTGCCAATGAACATCTAAATGATTCAAAGAAAAGATTGGGAGAAAGTGCTGTGGTCAGATGAGACCAAAATTGAGCTCTTTGGCATTAACTCGACTTGCCGTGTTTGGAGGAAGAAAAATGCTGACCATGACCATAAGAACACCATCCCTACAGTCAAGCACGGAGGTGGAAATATTATGGTTTGGGGCTGTTCCTCTGCTAAAAGTACAAGCGGACTTTGCCGCATTAAAAGGGCATATGGACTGGGCCATGTATTATAAAATCTTGAATGAGAACCTTCTTCCCTCAGCCAGAACACTGAAGATGGGTCGTGGATGGGTCTTCCAACATGACGATGACCTAAAACATACTGCCAAGGCAACAAAGGAGTAGCTCAACAAGAAGCACATTAAGGTCATGGAGTGGCCTAGACAGTCTCCAGACCTTAATCTTATAGAAAATTTATGGAGGGAGCTGAAACTTCAAGTTCCAGAAGGACAGCCAAGAAACTTTAAGGATTTAAAGAAGATCTGTAAAGAAGATTAGACCAAAATCCTTCCTGAGATGTGTGCAAACCTGGTAACCAACTACAGGAAACATCTTACCTCTGTGCTTGCCAACAAGGGTTTCTCCCCAAGTACTAAGTGTTTTGCTTGGTGATCAAATACTTGTTTTACTCACTGAACTGCAGCTCAATTTATAACATTTGTATCAAGTGTTTTTTTTCTGGATTTTGGTTGATATTCATCTAAAATACACCTATGATAAATCCTTCATTTCTTTGTAAGTGAGCAAACTTACAAAATCTGCAGGGAATCAAATAATTATTTTCCCCACTGTATGTGCAATGCCAAACATTTATTTAAAGACATTTAATGTCCCTTCAATTAGTTTGTTTGGGCCAAGATGGCCCAAACAATCAATTTAATGCGCTAACAGGAGCGCTTGCTATGTGTGCTATATTAACTGAATGTAGGCTCAGTTACATACAGTATACAGCGCTGTGTTCCAGCAATAGGATGAGAACTTCCTATCCCACTAACGGACCAAAACAGTCAGGGCTGAGCACTGTTTAGCCACTTAAGGGAAGCCTTGTATTCTATGAATTAATACAGTGCTTCCTCTGATTGGCTGAGGCAGAGATTGTGACAAAATCCACCCACCTGAGCCATTCAAACAAAGATTTGTATTCATTCACAAAATACAAAGCTTCCTGTGAATCTCAGCCTGATTCTCTTTTGTTTCGGTAGTGGGACAGGAAGTTTTTATCTCACTGCCAGAACACTGCGCTGTATACTGTGAATAGCTGAGGCTTCATATAGGTAATAAAGAGCACCCAAAAAATATACCCGTTAGTGCAGTAAATAGTTAGTTTTAATGTATAATCTTATCAAAATAAAGGGGAACTCTAATGGTTATGGGTCAACTTTTATTTTAAGCTTAAAAATCCAAATTTATTGTTCACCTTAGGTGAGCAATGGGAAGTATATTGTAACGACTGTGAGTCGGCTTTACTAAGAAAGCTATGAGCTAAACATTTATAAAAGCAATGATTTACCCTTTATATAAGTGATAAATGTGCCAAAGAGGTTCAGGTCTGGCAGGTGTAACCTTTATTTAAAATTCAACAAATCTTACAGAGACCTGGATTCCCATTTCGTAATGGGCAATAATAAATCAAAATATGCTCTCACTAAAAATACGACAATTCACTCTAAAAATGATTACCCAGGGTCACTACCACTTCTGTACCTGCATAAGAAAACAGAAGGAAGCTGAGGGACATCACTGTGGAGAATTAGATTTTAGTTAGCTGACCAAAGTCAACTCAAAAACACACTTAAGTATATTTCAGTTTTCAGTTAAGCTCCTGCAAAGTGGGCAGCATTGCCATTTCAGAAAACAGCATAAAGGCAGTTATCCTGCCATTGGTCCTAGACAATTAGATTTAAAGGACTAAATCATGACAACACATTATTTTAGAAAGGTTTTACAGGGTACCTGGCTTAGAAGTTCTGTAGGCTAATTTACAACTGGGGTACTACAATCAAAGCACAGCAGAACTTGTCTAAGTGCATATCCTTTTCGATGCAGAAGACAACATTTTCTGGCCCATGGAGCAGATTATCTTGTCTTCCATTGATTTTCCTGTCCATATGTTCGGATATGTGGATGAGTAAATGAAACCCTTTGTAAGCTCCAAGTTGCTGTGATCCCAGCTTATATGGAGTTATGGCTACTTTCCCAGATAAAATTTCTAAGAGACACAGGGCTGGGGCCTCTCTTGCTCCCCTCATGTGACAGTGCAGGTTGCTGGGGTAGCCAACTGCCAAATATCAGCGCTGTCACATGCTTCCCATACCTAAACACTGGATATTTATTTTTGCTCCGGGTGGCCAAACTGGGCAGCAGAAGAACAAAGGGAAATGGGTTTACGCTAGGGGCTGCAAGAGATGGCATTGAAGTGAACCTCTTATTTTTTCCAGCACAGGAAAGAACAGGTTCACTTTAGGTTGCATCTAGAATATCAAAATAATATTTTCCACTCAGGTTGTTGCCAAGTGCCAATATATTTTACTGTATTTACTCAGTAAGATAGAAAGACTGTCTTTACCTTGCCAGTGTAGATTTCCCAGATCCGGGGGCACCTCTCAACAGTATTAGCACTTTTCCTACTAAACGTGTCACTTTTTTAGAGGTCTGAGTACTAGGCTGTGGTTTGGGATTAGGCACACTTATGGGCATCACATTTTCAGAAGTCCACTGTGTTGAAGAAAATGGATTCCAGACATATGCAGAGGGAACCTGAGCATTATAAGAAATTAATCCACTAGGATGTCTTGCACATGCAGCATATGACCATTGTACAGGATTAGCAACTACTGGAGTGATGAATGAGCCGTGTTGACTAGATGCTGGAAAGAATGCTGACGCCAATGGATTCCATTTAATTTGTGACTTAGGAGAAATGCTTGGTGCATCAGACTGTGCTGTTAATACTGAATGGATGCTCTCTTGGTTAAATTTCTGAACAGCGGGCATTTCATTGCTTGCAAAATGTCTTTGGGCATTTATAGTTCCAGTCCTATCATTCTGTAAAAAAATGTCATTTGTGCCTGGAGAAGTTTCTGTCTGTTCCAGCTCAGTTATTTTGGGCTTAACTGATGATGTAGTAGAGATGGTGTCAGCATTAGATTTGGTGGGTGAATCACCCAATTGCAACTCCTCTGCCCTAGCCAGTCTTATCTGGGACTGAGCAATGTTTTCCATATACTCACTGTGAAATGAGGTATTCCCAGGTGATGGAGACTGAACCTGCTGTGACATAACACCGCTGGTTGATGCTTCTGATAAAGAACTCTTGGGTTTCTCTGTGCTATAAATATCTTCTGGACTTGTTAAGCCATACCTATCCAGTGCTTCATCTAACAACATATCCAGGTCATGGCAAGCAGTCTCATCTATGCATGGGTCATCTAGGTAATCTTCTGCCTTGTCAGTTACAGTGTCCTCATTTTCTTCGTGTGAATTTACCTGGACACCATCCAAATAAGATGTAATCTTTTCAAAACCTGTTGACTCCAGATTAGCCTCCATTTTAGCAACTGTTGAGAGCTCCAAGAGATAGTCCATCACTATTTCAACTAGTTAGAAAAACAAAAAGAAATATAAAAGTTAAACATGATACCACACCACAATCATTTTGCAGATTACCATTTTCTAGCCATAAACTAGAAACATAATGACTACCACAAGGGACATTTTGCAATTAAAAAGAGAAGTATGGACAAAGCTGTGGGTGACTGTTAAGGGTCACAGGAGTACACTTACTTTTGTTGAAAACAATGAGAAACTAACAGTTGTACCAGTGGAACATTAATAAACTGAGAGATTATAATACACTGAAGTGGGTCAGAGATATCCAGCTTATTCCAGCCATACCAGTGTTGCATCTGTGACACTATAAAATATAATTTGGCATTAGGAAAAGCCAGGCCTCCCCCATCGTTGGGCAGTTGTAATGTGGAGAGCCGTCTGTTTTAACCTATGTAGTAAAGGTGTCAGGTTACGTTCCACATAATCAAGATACCTGAGGGGTGACCAAAACTCCCAAATATTTGAAGGAGGACACCATCGATATCTGCTGAGCAATAGGTGGCAGATCTGACGGAAGGGGATCCAACGGCAAAAGAACTGACTTGTCCCAATTAATTGTAAACCCTGAGAACGAACCATATGTATTTATAAAATGGCATTACTGCAATTAATGAGGAAGAGGTATCCCCCAAAAACAATAGAGTGTCATCAGTATATAAATACTATTTTGTCCTCTACTGTAGACTGTTTACATCCTATGATATTAGAGGACTGACAGATTGCTGCAGCTAAGGGTTCAAAGGCCATCGCAAAAAGGAGGGGTGATAAGGGGCATCCCTGTCTCCTGTGTGTAATGGAAAGGAGTCTGAAACATGCCCATTAATTTGTACTCTAGCTGTCGGCGCTACATAGAGAAGTTGGATCCATCTTAAAAATGTTGGCCCAAACTGCCACAGAAAACTCCATTCTATACTATTGAATGCTTTAGCTGCATCGAGCGACAATACAGCTCTATTACCGTCGTTACTCGTTGGGATTTGCAAGTTCAAAAACAATCATCTAATATTAATAGACGTTGCCCTGGTCAGGATAAAAGCAGACTGGTCTGGATGAACTATCGTTGAGATAACATTCGATAAACAGACGGCCAACATTTTAGCCAGAAGCTTAACGTCCAAATTAAGCAACGATATCGGCCGATAAGAATCTGGAATGCCGGGGTCCTTGCCTGGTTTGGGTATTACTACAATGAAAGCCTCATTCATAGACAGAGGCAAGGTTCCAACTTCAAAAGCATTATTAAATACCTCCAAAAGTTCTGATAAAAGGAAATCTCCATAGGTTTTATACACCTCACTAGGAAGGCCATCAAGCCCCAGGGCCCTATTAGACATACCAGCAGTTGCAAGTTGGAACTCTTCAAAAAGTCAATGGCATTTCCAGTGCTTCTCTCTCTGAGTCAGACAAAGATGGCAATTGAATAGAAGTTAGAAACGACAATAAGTCTTCCTCACGGTAGGATAACTTTAGTACTGTAGAGGGACCTAAATCTATTCTCGATAAGGTTTTAGGAGTACGTGAGAAGCACAAAAAGTGTCTCTCAGTAGGGTGTCACATTCTCCAAATATCTACCAATCCAAGCTCCTGAATATAATTAGCATAGGCTGTGGTTTGCGAGGGCCCTGGTCCCGCAGTAGAGCTACAGTTGCAAGAAAAAGTATGTGAAACCCCTTGGATTACGTGGAGTTTTGCATGAATTGGGCATAAAATGTGCTATGAATGTCATCTAAGTCATAACAATAGAAGAACACAGTCTGCTGAACATAATACTACACAAACATTAGATGTTGCCATGGTTTAATTGCACATAACATGTAAACATTCACAGTGCAGAGAGGAAAAAGTATGTGAGGCCCTAGCTTAATGACTTCTCCCAGAGCTAATTGGAGCCAGGAGTGAGCCAAACTTGACTCCAATCAGTGTGATGATATTGGATGTGTTGCTGACAGCTGTCCTGCCCTTAAAAAACACACACCTGTTTTGGGTTTACTGGTTTCAAGAAGCACTGTCTGATGTGAACCATGCCTCGCAGAAAAGAGCTCTCAGAAGACCTACGATCAAGAATTGCTGACTTGCATGAAGCTGGAAAGGGTTACAAAAGTATCTACAAAAGCCTTGATGTTCATGTGTCCACGGTAAGACAGACTGTCTACAAATGGAGAAAGTTTAGCACTGTTGCTACTCTCCCTAGGCGTGGTCGTCCTGTAAAAATGACTGCAAGAGCACAGCGCAGAATGCTGCATGAGGTAAAGAAGAATCCCAGAGTGTCAACTAAAGACCTACAGAAATCTCTGGCACATGCTAACATTTTTGTTGACACATCTACAATAAGGAAAACATTAAACAAGAATGGAGTACATGGGAGGACACCACAGAGGAAGCCATTGCTGTCCAAAAAGAATATTGCAGCACGTTTGAAGTTTGCAAAAGAGCACCCGGATGTTCCACAGCACTACTGGCAAAATATACTGTGGACAGATGAAACCAAGATTGAGTTGTTTGGGAAGAACACACAACACTATGTGTGGAGAAAAAAAAGCACAGCACACCAACATCAAAACCTCATCCCCACTGTAAAACATGGCGGAGGGAGCATCATGGTTTCGGGCTGCTATGCTGCCTCAGGGCCTGGACGGATTGTTGTCATTGATGGGAAAATGAATTCCAGAGTTTATCAAGACATTTTGCTGGAAAGCGTACGACCATCTGTCCGCCAACTGAAGCTCCGCAGAGGATGGGTGATGCAACAGGACAATGACCCAAAGCATACAAGTAATTCAACAAAACAATGGCTGCAACAGCACAGAATACACCTTCTGGACTGGCCCAGTCAGAGTCCTGACCTCCACCCGAATGAAATGCTGTGGCATGACCTTAAGAGAGCGATTCACACCAGACATCCCAAAAATATTGCTACACTGAAACAGTTTTGTGAAGAGGAGTGGTCCAAAATTACTCCAGATCGTTGTGCAGTTCTGATCTGCAACTACAGGAAATGTTTGGTTGAGATTATTGCTGCCAAAGGAGAGTCAACCAGTTATTAAGTCCAAAGGTTCACATACTTTTTCCTCCCTGCACTGTGAATGTTTACATGTTATGTGCAATTAAACCATGGCAACATCTAATGTTTGTGTACTTATGTGCAGACTGTGTTCTTCTATTGTTGTGACTTAGATGACGTTCAGAAGCACATTTTATGCCCAATTCATGCAAAACTCCACGTAATCCCAAGGGTTCACATACTTTTTCTTGCAACTGTATATATATATATATATATATATTTGTACTGTTTTTCATTTTGTGTTTGTACTAAAGTTCTATTGCTGAAAAAAAGACCTTTTTGCCTTTTTGAAGTAATTTATATATATATATATATATATATATATATATAGTCAAAATTGACCCGTAACACCATAGATGTTACTATAGTTAATAATATTAAAAAATAAACAAAACAAATTTATTTCAGAGATGTGTTCTAAATCCCCTCAGTAATAGTCAGGTGACATAACAACCTTTTATTTATTTATATGATTCTCTTGAGGTTCATTTTACATTGTTTTTTAATTGAAATCGAGGGGTATACTGACAAAAAAAGGCCCAGGGGCCCACACCAAAAATAATAAAACCAATATTTTCATGGATAAGGAAGCCTAACAAGGTAACCAAGAGATGAGAAACAAATTGGATGATAGATAATTGTTTTTAGTGTATTTTACAGCTGACTTAAGACACAGGTCAAATCTGATCCGTTAACATAAGAGATGGTAACAGGAAACTAACACAAGAGGAAGGATATATATATATATATATATATATATATATACCCATTTCTTTGCAGTTTTTTTCTTGGAGCCTGTAAAGCAGTGCACCATGCAGGACTCCTGCAGACTGTCAGTGTAACTTGTGTGCCTGTACATCATACTGGCAGACAGTTTTACATAATAGGAAGACTCAACAGCACCATGGTAGTTCATCGAGAACATCCGCAAAAGGACGTCGGGACTTGTAGTCAATTCATTCATAGAACTGTGAATGAATAATGCGGCCATGTGGACCAGAACGGCTGCATTGTTTTCAAAAAGTGACAGCTAGTATGGGAAACTTCTCCCTGTATTGCAGTCACAGCAGGCAGAAGTGGGAACATGTTACAGGTTCCCAAAGGTAAACTTATCCTTATGAATATCTGATATGATGTAACTGGTAAGTAATATGCAGGAAAATAGGATTTTTGACATACATGTAAAATCTTTTTCTTGGTCACAAGAACAGTCTTTAAAGCTGAGCCCCATATTTCATTTAACATTAAATAGGTACCGTATTTTTCGCTCCATAAGACGCACCTGACCATAAGACGCACCTAGGTTTTAGAGGCAGAAAACAGGAAAAAAAAATTCTGAACTAATGGACTGCAGACATAGTACAGGAGATGACCAGAGACTGCGGCCACAGTACAGGAGATGACCAGAGACTGCGGCCACAGTACAGGAGATGACCAGAGACTGCGGCCACAGTACAGGAGATGACCAGAGACTGCGGACACAGTACAGGAGATGACCAGAGACTGCGGACACAGTACAGGAGATGACCAGAGACTGCGGACACAGTACAGGAGATGACCAGAGACTGCGGACACAGTACAGGAGATGACCAGAGACTGCGAACACAGTACAGGAGATGACCAGAGACTGCGGACACAGTGCAGGGGATGACCAGAGACTGCGGACACAGTGCAGGAGATGACCAGAGACTGCGGACACAGTACAGGGATGACCAGAGACTGCGGACACAGTACAGGGATGACCAGAGACTGCGGACACAGTACAGGGATGACCAGAGACTGCGGACACAGTACAGGGATGACCAGAGACTGCGGACAGCACAGGGATGACCAGAGACTGTGGATAGTACAGGGGATGACTGCTGACGTTTGGGGAGGGGGGGAGCGGGTACCTGAATTTGACAGATACCCGCTCCCACTTCCGTG